ACACACATGGATAAGCGCTAAGAGCTTAAAAACAAAATCCACATTAAATATATATTACATCCCTTTATATTCACTGCCAGCTTTAACGCATGGGGACCTAGGGCATTAAATCTAAGTATATATACATATATGTACATAGCCACTGTCATAGCGACAACGGCTTTGATTAGCCAATGACTTGATTTAATGTAATTTATTAGACCGTAATTGCTCATGCGACATGGCTGCCAGCCATATTGATTCGCTAATTCATTGTTCGCGCTCATTTAGAGTAAGTGATGCCGAGAAGTTATTACTTTCTATACATGCATATGTATAGCGGAAAGCTAACACTGCATAAATTTGTGTAGCATATGGTCCTTTGAACCACCTACAAATATACTCCGCTGTAGTGTACTCTTGGACCAAGTCATGTATCTATTTATATCAGCTTTGTGCTGCACGACCGTGCCTCGTAATTTACCGATGGCAATCACGAGATGAAGTTCCAAGTTTTAAGTACAGAAAATGTTGGACATGAAATACATACATACATATATATTACTATTTATAAAGCAATTTTATATAATAAATCTTTTGTTTCACTAACTTTTACCAAAACAGATCGTTTTCAAAACTAAACTCGAAAATAATTTTTTGTAGATTTTTCCATGAAATAATTTTGTGGTGTAGTTTCAAAACAAATTTCCTGTAGGTTGGAATACTCGGCACTTATGCAGAGGTGGAGTATATGATCAAGTCCTAGCACATTGCAATATTTATAGGACCATATATTTTTTGTGGATTATTGTTAGTTTTGGACTACTTACTATGCCCGTAGAGTATACATTTCGTGGGCGCATGTGGTACCCGCGTTGTTCGCAGGGAAGTTATCATATGTACGAGTGCGCTGAGTGTATATACATGCGCTTCAAAACCTCCGCTTCCTTCCAGTCTTATCTCGCTGACGTACATAAAACGTCATAATTTCATATGTCCATACAATACGCTTACCGTTAAGCCTCAGCCCACTATTATAGCCATGTATTGTACGTTGACTTATCATAGACATGTGATACTGCGTAGCTATGCGTAACTCTATCTCTGCAGCAATATCTCAATATTCCCTGCAGTAAATTGGTTTAACTATGTAAACATATGTACATTCATACAAACTCGCTTGTGATTGCTCATAAAAGCAGTAAATGACATGCCATAGCAGGGCAATCGAAATACTCTTTTACATACATACAATGTGTACGAAGAGTGCATATAAAATCATGTGTGAACTTAATATCCCGTTGAGAATGGGTTGTCGATTATTTGTGTAAATGAAATATTTTTTATGTTAAAACAACAACACAACTGCAAAAGAGCGCAAGGACTTTTTCCGCAGGTTAACCAACTGAAGTATAAAAATAATTCCTCTAACTTCTTAACTGTTTCCAAACTTCGAAAGAAAACAAAACGGTATTTTGTTCGTTGGCAGAAGTGACTGCCGTGCATCAGTTCACTTGGGCCATCAAACAGATCCATTATGATACCACTGAGGATTCCAAAAGACCCCCAACCGCTAATCGAACCAGTGCTAGGAATTTGCAAAACTGAGCCATCGCAACATCTTTGTCATCGCTCTCTCGCTCAGATCTCTAAAGGTTGACACCTCTAGTGCGGTACAGTTTCCAACTTCCACAGAAGTCGTTAAATGGTGCCCCTTTGCGTGTCGGTTTATTCGAATATGCCCTGCTCACGTTTTATCCCATGCTATAGCCACATTGTCCTGACCACTCTAAACGCTGTGAGACTTCTCCATTTTAGGTTAGTGTCTTTGATGTATAAGTGGAAAGCGGCATGCCCAAACTCTTCCGTCATGGCGAAAATTGGAAAGAAAGAGCCTTTCTTTGCAAGCTCGTCCACCAGCTCTTTACTTTTACAGACTTTGGGCTCTTAATGCGGCCAGGCTATACAAAAAGATATAGATATGATTTTCTGTGAAAAACCTTGCGCTGAGACAATTGACAGCCTTGTTTACAGTCACCAATTCCTCTTGAAAACCCCTAAAGTGATCTGGTAAAAAAGACAATGTGCAAATACCAAGCTCCCTTAGTAAACTCCGCCACCGGGCATGTTATCCAGTTTCAACCCACCCATATAAAAATATCGCGTCTGTCTTTGATTCTATCCAGGATAACTACATCGGAATCTATCGATAAGTCAGTGAATAATATGCAGAAACCTGTCTGATCTGGTAGACGGCATCTTTTGAAGTCCCGTAGTTTATTACTTTCCACCTTTCAGGGCCTCGCCCTCGCACAAGCGGCATTATGCAGTCCCTTAATCTCAATGGGCGTTTACAGCGTTGGCCAGTTAGTTAAGTACAGTCTTACAATGAAACCAGACTTTCACACCCCTTCACTTTCAGCACAGTTTCCCACAAGTGAACCTACAAGGACTCTTACCTCTTACATATATACATTGATACACAGTCCACATTGCAAGCGCTATATGTCAATATGCTGTCATCATTCGGCGCTGCCACAACAGCATAATGGCCACCGTCGACTGTCGACAGTTCCTTTTATGGCACATGTGAAACAGTGTTTGTTCATTTCTTTTTTTTTTTTGCCGCTATGTAGATTAACCTTTGAGTGCTCTTGTTGGGATTGATGGCCAATTAAATTTATATATATATAAAGCTTTTACTCTGAACTTAATGAAATCATATGGAAAATTCAGTGGAATTTCAAAATGACTGAGACGGTTTGTCGCAATGCTTTTGTGGGTCATCGAGGGAGTGACTGTATGTATGAGCTGTAGTTGAATAATAATTGCAGTGATTTATAACTCTTTATTAGTTAACCAAGCTTTTATGACGCTCTATACCCCTTTGAATTATCTTGTGACTTACTGACAAATATGTGTGGGTAGCAAATTTGTATTATTATCAAACCTCTTTTTTGCGACGAGAAACTTAAAAAAATATCATCATAGTCGAGTTACGGAATGTTAATTCTATCATTATCGATTGCGAGTTCGGGTTCCGGCATTTAGCTGCTCTCTTCAGCTCTCGGTATCCACATATACCACACAAAAAGCGCTGTCGTCAATCGTTACGTTGGAGAGCAGACAGTCTTATTTTCAGCGACATTGTTGAAAAACAATTGCTCTTCTAGGGAACTTGAAACGACGCACCACAGCTCCCTTATATCGAGCTGATTAGAAGTGTTCTCAAAAAAACTAAAGTATACATCGGATAGAAACGGCTGACTTTTAGCTGACGGATGCGTTCTTTACCGCTCAGTCCCGCTGCTACAAGATGGTATCCTATTCAATGTTAGGTCCACGAAAATTACATACATCTAGCATGCTGGAGACTTGTCGTCGATCTATTACAGCATGATAAACTCTGGTGTTAAAGTCGTCGTGGCGGTTGCAGTGTTCATACAATAAAGTTAGGTTAGGTTCATACAATAAAAAGGTTTAAGTTGAAGAGCGTAGTTGATCATAATTGTGGCGATACGAGCATCCAGCGAAGTAAATGCTGGTACTTTACCGAGGGAGTCTCTTTCCCACCACAAATCCAAAATAAATCTTGTACCCCTCTACATGTAACCAACCATTCTCAGTCCCTGTACTTGGATCATCATCCTGTTTGTTTGTTTTGATTTTTTTTTCACTGGAGCATTTGTTAAGTACTGCGCCGCAAACCCTATTCACTTTATATTGCCTCCAACCTGAAGTACATTGGATACCAAGCGAATACTTAGTCTAAGATAGAAAGTCGTAAAGTAATCGTTTTTGGGCTTTCCCGGTTGGACGACAAGCCAAAACCTTTTCGCAATTAGATGGGCTTTAACTCTTTGGTAAATTTAGCATTTACATGGTTATTCTTCAGCATTAGCGTAGATAATGCTTACTTATAGTCGAGTTAACAACAACGCACCATTCGATTTTTTTTCATTTCGGCGCTAAATGGAGACGAAGCCAGGTCTTTTCACCCGATCTCTACAACTTAGTGTAGGTCTGCTTTTATCGGCCGGGATTCGCCGAAAACTTTCGTGTGCTTTTCGAGTGCTTTCATCCATTCGGACGTCAAGATCTAGCCAGTGTGGCCACTGTCTCTTAATTATCTTAATGTCGTCGTTTATACCGTATAATTCATCGTTCCACCATCCGCGGTACTCGCCTTCGCCCATAAACAGGGAGCCATAAATCTTCGGCAAAATATTTGTCACGAAATCGTTGAGTGTCGACTCGAGTATGGCATTGCCGTTCGTTTCTAAAATAGTAAGTTTATTTATATATACGTGTGTATATATTTTGTTATCATTATGACTTAAAAATCATTTCGGAATTAAAATGAAAAAAAGGAAAATAAGGCTTACCAAGAGCCGATATTATTTTGAGAGTTCTTGTATTTATTTTGAATTTATAACCCAACACCAACAATTTATTTTACATTCCCACAAACAGTTCACGAATTGGTAAGTTTGTACTATAAATACCTCCATTAAATTCTCATTCACACTCACAAGAGTTAAAATTCGCACCTGTACACATAAACACCGTCACAAAAAGAGATATGCAAAGCAAAGATAGAAGTTAATAAAAAAAAAAATACACCGTAAATTCTCACATCCGCTTGACACCTTTTTTGCGTCAAAACTGCCAAATCGTTTGTTTTAAATTGTTTTTAAAATATTTTTCAAACAGTGTATGTGTTTGTTAAGATATGTAGACTACACACAGGTGTATGTATGTTATTTTGCAAAAAAAAAAAAATTAAATAAAAAAATTAAAATACGGAAATTTCGTGTCACGGCACGATTTTCACTTTTCAATAAGCGTTCAATAAATGTTTGCAGTTTCAATATTTGCTTTTGTTGTCCGTTAACGCGTCATATCTGTTTGTTTTTTTCTCTCTCTCTCTCTCTTTATTTACGTCCCATGTTCCGTTCACACAACTTCAACGCCTGAGCCTGAGTCAATATTGAAATTGTTTTTGTGTCTCCGTTTTTCAGCATTTCCACATGATGCACGAGGAGCGCTCAGCCTCCATTTCGGAACGTTGCACACGTAGTCGCATCAATTCGGCCATATTTGTATCGGCCGAGGGTGGCATTGGATTTGATTCAATCGAATTCCTGCAGCGACACGGTTCGCAGAGCGTATTGTGCCGTAAAGCGCGCAGCGCAGAGAACATAACGGACAATGAGCGGAAGGTGAGTTGGTGACAAAAGAAAAAAAATACGCCGTAGTCTACTTTTTCTTTGCTAGTTTTGTAATGTTAAGTACCCAAACGCATATACATATATTTTCTTTTCATATTCCACAGCAAAGCTTTTCCGACAATAAACGCACGTGGCGTAATGGCGTGAACAGCAATCACGATCCGAATGCGTCCAAGCAAGACGATTGTGACGGCAGCGCTATAGAGCTACGCGAATGCCGATCCAACGTCAACGGCTGTAATGTCACTTGCGGTGGCGAGACGCGCACACTCTCGGTGCTCACTACCAATACTAGCTGCGATCATCCCTCCACATCCGCTGCGGCAGCCGCTTCACTGACCGTCACCAATTTGATTGTGGGTAGTATTTCACTTGAGACACCACCTTCACACATTAAAGATGAATTGCATAACAGCAACAGTAATGTGAGCAGCAATAATACAAGTACAGTCAACACAATTGTCACTTTGGCCAATGGTGAGAAGCGGCAGCGGCCGAACAACTTTACGGGTATGTCAAAGAAAAGTTCCACCTCGCGCGACTCCAACGACACTGCCGAGGAGTTAGTACTCGTGCCAACTACAGTTGCCGCCATAGCGGATCTACCGGTGCCAGAAATAACCGTTACAAACCGTTCACGCGCACTAGTGCGTCAACGTTCTTCGACCGCCTCCATCTCGCCACATCGCAGCCCGAAAACGCATGCACTGAAACACGCGCGTCCAAAGATCACCGCGCTGCCTATGGTATCGGTTTCCGGACCATCACCACCACACGAGAAACCGCCGTCACAACAGGCGACAGAGTGCTTGTAACAAATGGCAGCCGAAACATTTATTTAAGTTTGAGTGAAAGCAACGGTGGCAGCGAAGGTAGGAGGTGCAGTGGAAGATTAACACTTAAAGAGCAGGCAAGCAGGCGGCGAACGGTTGGTGATCGGGCGGTGACGTAGAGTGGTAGATGTAGAGATTAGGTAGTGGCATAGCAGACGCGCCTGTCCTCTTGGGTCAAAATTAAAAAAAAAATGAAATAAAACGCGAACACAATGGAAATCTGTCCTATATTCTTCCTAACTTTCAGCTGACGGTTTCACACTAACAAATGTTTCGGCTACAAATTGGCACTGTATATGGTGGGGTGTAACCGCAACCACGCGGAGTGGTGGTGACTATCCAAATTTAAAGATCTTAATTCTTAGTAAGCTCTATTGAAAATCGACTGAACTCAACTCGTTAATATTGAAAATCATTGAAAATGCATATAATATACATATGTATATATACTCTTCATATGAACATATGTACATATGCATGTAACGTATTTATGAATTTAAACTTGTAGACCTTAGTATTAGTTATAAGTTCCCTCAAAATTAAGACCCGAGCCATTGGAAAGTTGGCAGAAAGCTTTAACAAGTCACTTGAATACTTTCAAGCTTTAATAATATAAATTATTATAAATAAATACTGTATAATTTTTATCATTATTACCTTTTATTAATATGTATAAGCCCAGCTATAGCACTAACATGTGTATATGAATATAATATTATATATACATAGATATATATATATGTATACTCCTAGTGTATATAAAACAAGAGATTTACTCTGAAAAAAAAATACAAAAATCACAAAAAAAATTAAATATTATATTGTATTACATGTATATGCTGCACAAAAATATGCAAGCCCAGTTAATTTTTTGATATTTTTTTTTTATAATTTCCATCTCTGTAACCCATCTAAGTCGAGTTCTATGACTTTTGCGCTGCAAACAAAAAAAAAAGCGTCACGAAGAAAAAGAAATTGCTCGGAGCTTGAATAGCCGTTGTTGTTGTTGTTGTAACCGCAAATTATTCCCCGAATTGGTTTTCGGGGAATATTGCGGGAGTGACAGTCCTTGGCCGGATAAAAATCCGGGTCGTTCCGGTATAAAGACCCGACTGTCGCGGGAACTATTGGATTTTAGTCGCCTCTTACGACAGGCATGCCTTACCACGGGTAAATTCTTAAGCCCCTAACCCGCAAGGGTCACCAGCAATTCATACTGCCGTTCGGATGGCCAGTGTTCGAGTGCTGGTTCAAAATTATTTTTAATTTTTCTAATTGCGGTCGCCCCTCGATAGGTAAATTCAACCCCTTTCGAGTTTATTTCTGAGCTGAAATAAAAGCTCCTTATGAAAAAACCATCAGACGTTCGGAGGCGGCTTAAAATATATACAGCAGGCCACTCCATATTTTGAAAAAAAAAAAAAAATATACATATTTTTTTAAATACTTCCGAGATCAAAAAACATTCACCAACACTCTCAGCCTAGAAACCAGTTTTTCATTTCTTTTTTTTTTGAGTCGCTTACCCCTCGCAATTACTGTAGCCTTATTTTCGACCATATAATGGTCTATTAATCCAACGTGAGCAATCGCGACATCCAGCATACGGATGTATTTCTTACATTCATCGTTCTTTTTGACCTGTACAAATTCTCTGCTATCTCTCTCTCACTTCAATCTTGTGGTCACCTCGCACTTTTGAGAATTTCGGCTATGTTTTCGTCGGTAGGTGAGGTTCCGAACGGTAATTGTCTCCCAAGCTTTTATGGCCCACATTTAAATTCAACAGCCTATTAGCCGAATAGTTAGTAGAATAGTAGAAAAACATTCAAAATTATAGAAAATTGATTTGAGGTACCAATGATTGGAGAAGAAGCTGGTGCGAAACTGTACAGAATTAAGCAGTCAACAACTGTTCTCGTTACGAGAGCTCTACCGCCCGTCAACTCCATCAAAAGCCCTGGAAACTCTATTTTATTTTATGCTCCTGGATTTGTATGGCAAGCTTCAGGCGGGCTTGCTAAAGCTTAAGAAGTATCGTGCTAAAGGGCACGCCCAGATAATGTTTTTCGTGCAGATTCTAGCCGACTTAAATTACGCCATCTCCACATAGTGCTTTGACAATCTCTTCCCCACAAGAATTCCGGAGAGAAAAATGGAGAAATACAAATGCTCTGGTTCAGATTGGCATAGCCTTCTTCACGGATGGCTACAAAATCGTTGAAAGTGTAGGTTATGGAATTCACTGACCAACGTTCTCAATCTATTTTAATTTTAAGGCTACCAGACAACTGAAACGTATTCCAAGCAGAAGTTATTGCAATCACGAAAGTCGCTTAAGTTGCCCGGATCTCTGGTTACAAACCCATCAATAACCTTATACTAGAAAAGCCAAGCTACCAACAAATCTTTTCATTCTAATTACACCACATCCAAAGTACTTTTAACTAGCTACTGGTCAGACGCAACATAGCGGTGGTCAAAGTGCCCAGACAAAAGGAACATCTCTGGCAACTTTATAGTGGTTGAGCAATTGAGGGAAGGTTCCACTCTAACAATAATAAATTTCCCGCTCGTCACAGGCATAGCTATGTGTATGGCAAAACTCAACTGAAGCTGGCTTTCAGCAAAATAGCCAGCTGTAAATGGCTTAACGAATGCGTTTGCAACTTGACTAGGTAGCTTTGACCAGTGTTGGGCGCTAAAAGATCGGTTCACATGCAATTGCTAGTATACTAATTGGACATTATTTACGGTAGGAGTATTTGACACTCTTCGTATGATCTTTGTCGAAGCTACAGACGCGAAGAGAAGGAAATGTCTGTCCGTCACTACCTCTGCCACTGTGCAGCCTTAGGTGTTGAATGACATAAGTATAAGTATCTTAGACATCACTTCTTCGGTTGCTTCGCTGAAGTAGCAAAGGCTGGTATAAGCAATATCATAAATGGCTCAGGAAACGGACCTATAAGAGGGTGAGAAGCACAGGGAGCACTAAAACCAACAAAAATTGTGAAAATGGTGAAATGCATTTCTTCCGGGATATTAGAACTATTTTTTTTTTTTCAATTTTTTTTTACTCTTTTCTTTTGAAAAATAGCTAAAAAACATACCTTAGGAGCATATCAGATAAAGAGAAAGTAGAAACATAATATTCATAAATAAAGTGGATAAAAATAAATATTATTCAAATACAATACATACATATATGCACATACCAAGATTTTGTAAGTTTTTTAATATAAACGATTTTAGGTGTAACTATGTATTTACGTATATTCATATTGTATATAACAACTCCTTGAAAATTTTTTTATAAAAATAAATGAATTAAATAATAAATAATAACTATAAGTAAAATATAAACACATAAATATCTATAAGCGTAAACACATAAGAATTTACTAGCACGTTGGGGTTTTTAAAAAGGCAGGCCAAAATCGAAGCTCAAGCGTTACATAAAACATTGTAATTATAAAATAGATACGAATACATATATATATTTATATAAAATATAATAAAAATATATATACACAATTCAAATACGCACTCAAATCTTACTCTTGTCCTTAAAAATTTAGAAATACCTACATACATAAATATATAGGACCTTTCGTCGATTATACGAATATCTTTTTGAGGTTAGAAGCACTAAAAGCCAATTAGAACCCTGACAGTATAACTATCTCGTAAGTTATTCAGATACAAAACATATGTATAAGATAATCACATACATAGTACATCTAAACGTACATACTATGTAATTTGTTACCTAGTTCTGTGCTTAAAACATATATTTATGCACATACTTATAGTATATATATATATATATATATATATATACCCCTAACTATATATATTTTTAAATATGAACATGTATGTATACACGTACTAAAATTTTATGAACGAATATGGTAAAAGCTTTACTCTCCTCTACATATATGTATATATGTACATATGTACATACAATATATGATCTGAAAATATTTTTATCAAATTTATGCACATACAGCCGTAAATATTTACATACAGAAATTCATATTATATTTATAGTTTTTTATTTCAAATGACACCAAACGAATATCAGCGCGCAATCGAAGGATTTGATTTTAAAACTAACCTAAAGGCAAGAACATACTATCATACAAATTTACATATATAAATGTATATAATATATAATATAAAAGAAAATAAACGCCTACCTATATATTTATATACAAAATTAGAGATTATAGTTGTACTTCTATGAAAACAAAATAAAATATTAATGACGAAAAATAAAAATTAAATTAAAGGTTGAAAAAAGCACAAAAAAAACGAATCATATGGATAAAAATATGAAATCTACTTCAAATGTGTCTCCAGAAGATTTCCTACTACACAATATACTCATATATCGATATCCTAACTATATGCAAACACTTAAACTACAGCTAAAGTTAAACGTTTTAAATTACTACAATATTAATCTGACGGTTTCAATGAACTAAAAAAAGCTAGCCTAACCTAAAAATTTACTAAAACAATAACATTTTCTGAATAAATTATTATTATGAAAACTTTGGTTCAAGTTTTTATTTCCATTAAAGTTTTCATCTAACGGTTTCTCTAACGTAAGAAGTAATAATAAATAAAAAAATAAACTAAAAAATAAATAGATAAATAAAAGCTGAATAAATTAAAAATAAATTAATAAAAGGGAATAAACTAAATATAAGAAACTAAAAACTATATGAAATTAAAGGAAAAACAATAATGGAAAAATCAAATAAAAAACAAAAATGTAAAATAAAGTAACATAAAATTAAAAAAATTTTAATAAAAAGAAAAAATTAAACAAAATTAAAGTGAGATTTAAGAAAATAAAATAAAGTGAATAAAATTAAATAAAAAAATTAATTAATATATTTAAAACAAAATGAGGATATAGAGAGGAAATATAGAAAATAAAAACATAAATATATATTCATAAAATATATATATAAACAAAACAAGAAAAAATAAAAAAAATTAAACAAAAAAAAATTAAAATAAAAATAAAAATAAATGAAATTAGAAACTGAAATAAAATAATGGAATATAGAATAATAAATATGAAGAAATAGCAAATACAATTAAAATAAAAATAAATTAATAAAAGGGAATAAATTACATATAAAAAACTAAAAATACATGAAATTAAAGGAAAAATAATAATAAAAAAATCAAATAAAAAACAAAAAAATTAATATAAATATGAAATTAAAAAAACATTAATTAAATTTATTAGCTGAAATAAAATGAAACAATAAAACTAGTTAAAACAAAGTAAAATGAAATTAAATAAAAACAATATACGTAAAATAAAATGTTTCGAAAGCAAATAAATAACTGAAAAAGTAAATTAATTAAATAAAGTTAAAAAAAAATAATTAAAAAAATATAAAAAGTAAAATAAAAACAAATATAAAAGAACGAATTATAAAAAATAAAATAAAATAATATTTTATAAGTAAAATAAACTATAGTATAAAAAAAATTATAAAATAAATAAGATAAAATAAAAAAATAAAGTGAAATAACTTCAAATAAAAAAAGGAAAATAAAATAAAGCAAAACAAAATAAAGTAAAGTCAAATAGAATAAATATATGAACTAAAAAATAATATACAAAAATAAAATAAAATAGAATGATAAAAAAATAATAAACTAAAATAATATAAATTTAAAATTAATTAAAATGAAATATATTAAAATAAATAAATTAATAAAAAAAGAAAAGCCAAAAAAATATTATAGGAGAAAATGCAATAAAATAAAATAAAGTGAACTAAAATAAAATAATATAAAATAAAATAAATCAGAACAAAATAAATCAAAACAAAATAAAGCAAAATAAAATACAATGAATTACAAATTAATACACTGAAATAAAATAAAATAACTTAAAATAAAATTAAAATAAATTGAAATGAAATAAATTGAAACAAATAAATTAATAAAATATGAAATACGATAAAATAAAATAGGGTAAAATAAAAATAATATAAATAAAATAGACTGAATTAAAAAATGTTAAAATAAAATAACATAAAAGAAAATTAAATTAATTAAAAGAAAATAAAATAATATAATATACCACAAAATAAAAAAAAAATAAATTTATATTAAATAAAATAGAATAAAAAAAAAAATAATATAATACAAAATAAAACAAAATGTAATGAATAAAATAAAATAAAAGTTAAATTACAGTAAAACCTGATAAAAATAATTTAATTAAAATAAAGTACAATCCAATAATAGTAAAAAATAAATAAGAAAAATAAAATTTGTAATAAAATAAAATGAAATTATTGAATAAGAAAATTAAAAATAAAACCAAGAAAATAATAGGAACCATAAATTAATTGAAATAAAGTAAAAAAAAACGAAATTTATTAAAAAAAATGATTTTAAAATATCAGATATATATAAGCATGTATACCATCTGATTTTTTATTTCATTATTTTGAATAATTTCGATTCTTTTATATTACTTATTATTATTATTAATACTTTTGTTATTAAAAAAAAAATATGTATTTAATAAATAATAAAATAAAAACATGAAGTTGTGCAAAATGAAGAAATAAATTAAAATAAATCTAAAAAAACACATAAAGTAACAAATAAAAAAAAATAAAAATAAAAATAAAAAGATAAAGTAATTTCCCCTGAAAACCAATTTGCTCTCTATCTTAGCCTGAATGAATTCTTCAAAAATCATTTTGAATGTTTTCGGTGTAAAATTTGCTTTTATTTTTTGTCGTTAAAACACTGCTTGGAATATATGAAAAAGAAACAATATAAATTCCGTCAGTAAGTAATCCAACGAGCATAATATACATATTTTATTATATACTTATATTTGTGAATAAACATATTTATGTACGTATGAATATTAATCCATAAAAATCACATCCTGAAATAATGGTATTCTAAAACTATTGAAATAGCTTTACCCGTGTCCAACATAATATCAAAGATATTAAATATTGAAACAGTAAACTATTTTCGTTGTACTAAAACAATTTAAATATAAATATAAAACTAAAAACATATTAAAATTAATTTTTTAAATATTTATATGTAGATAAAAAAAATCTGTATGAAAACTGAAGCAAAATTTTTAGTTGAGTTTTAAGATTAGAACAACAATCAATCAGCTTAAACTACGGATTATAAATAATTTAATACTCCCATAAAATATAAAAATACAAGCGACAATATTTTGTAATGTTAAAATATTAATATTTCCCTATATTTTATTTCAAAAACTATCAAAAATGTTTTACATATATATTTCATTTTATCCAATTGCATGTATATTTCTATAATTCATTGAAAACAATTTTTTAGTTTCTTTTTCATTATCTATTTATTTACGTGACGCTTACAAAATTTCAGCAAAGTAGTGTACAATAAACTAGCTAATAAATTTTTCGTAATGTTCATAGCTTATTTGAAACAATTAGTGTCTTAATTAATATACCACAATCTAATATAAGTTATATAAGTTTATCCGAGCCAAACATAAGAAATTTTGAAAGTTTTTATAAGCCCAAACATTATATGCATTATATTATATGTATAAGAAAAAGAGGATTTTACTTTGGATTTATTGCAAAGAATTCAATAAAAGAGATTATATTTATTTCGAAAATAATTATTTACATCATTAATATTTCAGTAGCTTATATTAAATATAAGTACAATACAATTTTAGAAAAATAGTTTTACATTTCATTAATAAAAATTATTGTAATTATTATTAAAATTAGCGGAATAGGAACAGTAATTGTTGTATTATTGAAATGTCAATTACTAAATGGATTATTTCACAGAGTCTAGATGTTAATTAATTTATTATAAAAATATTTGCTTACGTATATATTATATTACAATCTTATATGTATGTGTGAATACATAAACTTGTATAAAATGTTATATTTTAACGACCCGCCATAGGGGCATTAGGTAAGTAAGCATTGTCATAAAATAAATGGGAATTAAATTTTAAATATAGTAAATAAAAAATTTAAATATTTTCTCATTTTATTTTGCGTCGTGTAAAAATTACACAGTGGTTGCCTTGATCATAATAACTTTCCGATACTTCAACTTCTGGAATTTGCTCCATCAATGCTTCCATCTCACCCGCCTCGAATACATGATAATAACGTAGGTAGACGTTTGGGTCTGCGGAGGCAGTAGTAGTTTCCTCTTTCCCCTGATTGACAGCAACTTTTAATTTCCATGGCACTAGTACATCCTGCTGCATAAAGTCGGTGCGATTTGTATGTATAGGCAGCTGTGGCGCACCCGGCACCAATTCCTGCAGTTGTTGCTGTTGCTGCTGCAATTCTTCCGCTGCACGTTGACGTTGTTGTTCCACAGTTACTTTGTTTTTGTTCAACGACTTATTTTGCAACAGATAAGCAGACTTTTTATTGTTTAGAGCACGTTGATCTTTCGCCCACACATAGATTAGACCACGTCCACCTGAACGCAGTAGTCGTGCCATTTCGGTTATGGCCATTAAGCGCCTTTCTGCGGTTGCCAAGTGATGTATTACTGCAATGCTGATACAACCGTCGACGGATTGCGCACGTACAGGCACATGTAAGCAATCACATCGAAAAACACTTGTATTCCTCGCATTAATGGTACTCGCACGCTCTAAGCATGTATGAAGCAATTCTCCACTGCGATCACAACCAATATTTAACACGGCGCTATTGCAATGCAGATATTTTCCATTACCACAGCCAATGTCGAAGACTACACTTCCTTCTGAGAAACTACGTAGAAAATCTGCTACACGCGGCCAAGGCGTGTGACGAGTTTGACAAAAGTGCGGTGCAATTCGTTCGTAAACGCTATGCACATTTTGTTCCTCTAATTGTGCAGCTACTGCACTTGGTATGACCCTCTCTGTTTTCTCTGCCGCATTTAAATGTGTATCGCATAGTGTAGGAAATATGCAGTTGCATGGACCGCGACGCAAACGCCGGAAGGTGAGTGAAACACGTTTCTGGCGTGGCCTCACCGTCAAACCAGTCTGTGTGGGAACGACATCAAGTGTACGTGGTGTAATGCCATGGGTCCAGTCGTATCGTGAGGCGCCTGACATGACAAGCATTGAGCGTCGTAACAATATGAGCGGTTGGCGTTCAGTACCATGTCTGAAATCCATAACCACTTCTCCACAAAGTGATAATGAAAGTATGGGCTCGAGAAATGCGCTGTGTGTATCGACGTGCGGCGGTATGCCTTGACCAGGTTCATAGATGTTCACGGTCATTTGATCAGGTACATCCCAGTCCCACGTTGACAAACCTAGTTTTGTAATTTCTGTTTTCAAACGGGGCCATAGTATATCACAAACATTTGGTATCTTTTCACTTGTTGGGTTTGATATGTCTACGTTATTTTCGCCATAAATAAACTTATATCCAAAATGTTTAACCTGACGATGTTTCAAATCACTTTTTTCAGTGTTCTCTTCAACAGCAATCGCACTGAGTAACGCCTCTTCTTCAGCTTCCGACACAAAATTCGGCAGCAGCACCAGCCCTTCCGGTAGTCGCTTAGCCCAAACATTTTTCTCACGGCATGCGGGTAGAGTTTTGAAGTAGGACAAATAGGCTACACCGCCATTTTGTTCCAATCCGGCGCAACCGTGCAAATTTTTGTAAATAAGCTCAGCATCAGCCTCGTTACTACACTCTAAAAAGCAATAAGATTTATTTGGCAACATTAACACTTGTTGCACGGGTGCATACTGTATTGCGCTGCTCAATACAGCCTCCTCAGTAAGACCAGTGGAAAGACCGGCATTTAAAATAGCAAGTATGGTAGTGGGCGACCCACTACTTTCAATGCCAAAGTCGTGGAAGATTATCGCTTCACAACGTCGCTGTTTTCGTTCCAATTTTCGACATACGTGCTTGCTTGTCATTCTGGAGACTTTTTTCTTCATTCAAGGAGTAGTTGATGTTATTAAGTCTACTAGCAAACAACTATTAGTTAATTATACACATTGAACTATAAGCTGAATCAAAACGCATGTGAAATTTTATTATTTACATTCTAAACGTCAGAACGAGTAACAAGACAAAAACAAAATATTAGCGTTGCCAATTTGTTAAAAAAACTTCTGGTTTCGGTGGCTACGGCAAAAGTTCCTAAGTGTTCTTGCTGCACATATCAGGGAAAGTATTTGAAAGACCATGACGATAAAGGTATCTCTCCGAAATCTTAGACTCATATATATTTCAGGAATTCACTCATTAAAGGTGGTTGTGTATAAATTCATGTTGATATTTGTTGTTAAGTTTAAAGTTATGTCACGTAAAGTCTGTCCAACGTAACGCAGCCATAAGATAATCCAATTAGACCAAAATAAAATTTTGACTTTTATCACTGTCAAACTGAAGTTTAGCGACTTGGCCACACTTTCGGTATTGGTGTTTTCATTTTCATTGTCATTTTCATTTGTGTGCTTGTGGTTCGTGCAGTTTCAAGTGCAACGCGGAAAATTGATAAAAGTTTTTTTTATAATTGGTGTACTAAGTGAAAAATGTGTATATTAAATTGCAAATTGGAATTGTGTGTCGAATAAATCAATCGTGAATTTATAAAATTGTATTTTAGGAGATGTATGAGTCTTTTTGCACTCCGTTGGAGATAGAAGCGATAGCAGCAATCAAAATAAAAGCAGAGATTTTTAGACGCAGTAGCAAACGTCGCTGCTTTTAAGTTTCTTTTATTAGAAAGCAACGTTTTTTGGAAGGGGGGTGGGGTATGCGCCACCGGAACTTGCAGCACTAGCGCTTCCCTAAATGCAAGAACAACAGCAGCATCAACAATGGGTAAGCAGCGTTTAATGGTTTGAAGTAACAAAGGAAAGAATTTTGTGAAAGCCAAAATGACAAACATTAAAAATGCCTATCCAGCGTAATAAAAAGCATTGGGTAAAATTCAGATTACAAAGGCGTTTGTAATGCGACGCCACCCCATAATCGACATCACCGTCATTAACGCCGGCGTCATCATCCCCCTCACTTCGTGCCTTGTGTGCAGCAAATTGTTGAAACACTTTGTATTTTTGCAGCTACCTTTAAGACACCAAAAGAAAAATGAATCGATTTTGCCAAATTCACGGACAATAGTTCAGGGTAGACTGGCTGTGAAGTGGAGTGTAATGGTGGTCTGTACGATGGAGTCCGCATTGAAATGTGAATACCACTGCCGTACAAACAAGCAGACAACCAACCAGCATACCGGATGACAGAGGGTTGAGTCAGCGCATTTCAAGTGCGATAAGTAATTATGTTCGCAATATAAACACATATGTACATATATCAAATAATATACATACATATGGACAAGTGTATTTGCGTGCGTGCGTGGTGCATATACGAGCAGTGGGACGAACAATCGAAAGCAAACAAGTCTGCAAGGGCTTTGTCGCTGCTGCCACTCTTGTATGCTATTAGATGCCATGAAATATTTCGAAATGAGCGCCGTTGGCTATTTTTAAGTCATTCCCACAGCGAAAAGCCAACAACAAACTGCAACGAGTGTATGGCATTGCTGTCAAACTAGGCCAGAGCAACTTTCGCAGCAAATAGCAGCAACAACGACAACAGTAACTGCAACAGCTACATCAAAAAGCATAAACCGTAGCCATGGCAGCCGGCCTAGCATATGCTAGATTTAGCTATAGCACGACTTTTGCTGTGCGCTCCCACTTTACACCCACATGCGGCATGCAACCGATAATACCAAAAGCAAAAAAAAAAAAAAAAAAAAATAAAAGAAAAACCACGACATGGAAAAAGAAGAAAAGAAGAAATGACTTTTGTCTCCATGGGCAGATGAAACGGATGTACGCGGGCGTACGGCCAAACGAATGTTTTGGTTTTATTGTTGTTTGATTGTGTTGCTTTGCTTAAAGAAACACAAATTTTTATTGTTGCTCATTTGCCTGGTACGAGTTGAAAGTAAAGTGATGAACAAAGGAAAATGACCGGCTGTTTTAGTTTAATATCATTTCATGCCCTAGTTTATAGTTGATGAGATTTTTAAAAATAGATTTTAATTGTATTTGTTTTCATCATTTCCAGAATGCCCCCAAATTGATTTGTATGAATTCCTAACCGAGGCAGAACTGCAACACTACTATAATGCAATCAAGTAAAAAAAAAATACTTTGATTAAAAACAGTTTTGTGCATAATATTAAATATCTTTTGAATTTTGCAGAAATGAACTGAAAATCACAAATGCTGCCCACGTCAAGTATGCAACTGACGAAGACCTCAAACACATTGGACTGTCGCGCCCAGAAATACGTCGCCTGCGTAAATTCTTTGAAAAACACTTTCCACATGGCTATCTAAGTAAAATAAAACGCTTATTACAAGCGCCAGCTACCATCGTCAAGCGTGACAGCAGTGGCGATGGCAGCACAACACTTTCGAATGCGTCATTGCATAGCGCGGCAGAGTCGCCTTTAACAGCGCGTACTGCCAACTCGCCCAGTAGGGCGCCAAATAATAAGCACATTATACCAGCCGATTCTATAACGGTAAATAAGCAATTGGGTAATGGAGAATTCGGCATAGTGCAACAGGGTGTGTGGACCAACGGCACAGAACGGGTTAGTGAACATTTATTGTTTTAACTAAAAAACATAAAACTTATTATAATGTATTCTATCACATTTTTTTCAGATACAAGTAGCTATAAAATTTTTATGCCGAGAGCGTATGCAATCAAATCCGATGGAATTTTTAAAAGAGGCGGCTATAATGCACTCTATTGAACATGAAAATATTGTGCGTTTGTATGGCGTTGTATTGGCAACAGACTCATTAATGCTGGTAACAGAATTGGCACATCTACGTTCACTATTAGAATGTTTAAAAGATCCCGGTTTGCGTGTTAGCTTTCTTACCATACCAACGCTTTGTGAGTTTGCCATGCAAATATGTAATGGTATGCGTTACTTGGAGAATAAACGACTCATACATAGGTGAGTGTAGGAGGATGCTAATATTTCAATTTATTGTCATAAAAATTAATTTTTACTATATTTTAGAGACCTCGCGGCGCGTAATATTTTGGTATTTAGCAAAGATAAAGTGAAAATTTCTGATTTCGGTCTGTCCCGTGCTTTGGGTGTGGGCAAGGATTATTATAAAACAAATTTTAATGTCAATCTCAAACTACCAATTGCCTGGTAAGAAAAACTGCATAGAAACAACAAAAATTCAAATTTAATTACTAAAAATATATCAATTTTTAAAAATGCTTAGGTGTTCACCAGAATGTGTAAACTACTTACGTTTCACCAATGCCTCAGATGTATGGGCTTATGGCGTCTGTTTATGGGAAATGTTTTCCTATGGGTTTCAACCTTGGCCTGCACTTACTGGAATTCAGATACTAGAGGCCGTAGATGCGCCCAATGGCCAGGTCAGCATTTCTGAAATATTTTGCTTTATAAACAAATAATATTTATATTGCTTGAAATACACAGCGTCTCGAGCAACCAGATTGTTGTCCTCAGGAGTATTATACACTCATGATGAGATGTTGGCACGAAGATCCTGTGAAGCGTCCTAAGTTTAGTGAAATTTATGATATGCTCCCAGATATGAAACCGGAGCAGTTGAAAGCGGTTGTGCATTGTTTGGAGCCGAAAAAGGATCATTTGTTGTATCGGCAAGGCGATATTATAACTGTGCTTGATCGCAATACGGGCACACCATTTTGGAAGGGTGTACTTACAACTGGGAAGACAGGTTTTTTCAATCCTTCGAATACTGTTGCATACTTAGAGGGATTACCCACGGCTAACCGGTGAGTTTTACAATGACATACCTTAACTTATAAAAAAATATGACGCATATATCTTTATTTTCATATACAGAGACTCGTTTTGTCGCACCACTGAGCGCATTAGCAAACGGAAATTACGCACGGAAATGATTTCTAAGCCACAAAATGATTTTAAACACACTGGACATGTCGGCATTGATGGTGATTCATTTGGTGATATCGCATTTCTTGGCAATTCGCAAAATGTAATTTCATTTGAATTCATTTCTACTGAGTTTTTACATTCAATTTGAATCCTATTTATTTTCACAGTACAGTCACGTGCCACGACAAATTGTTACACCCTACAAGCCATCGGAAGATATTGAACAAACACCACTCCTACAGCCGCCAACGCCAACCAGTCCAGATTCATTTCAAACTGCTAGTGGTTACTTCGCAGAAGAGGGTCCTGGTTCAACGCACATGAATAATCCCACATTCATATCGTCCACTGAAAACACACCGAAACATTTCAACACCGGCAATGGGGGTCAGCCATCATTTGAGTTTCCCGGACAACAGTCATATGCGAAATCTTTTGCCAATCCATTTTCAAATAAAACAGGGGACGATGAGGTGACGGTCGGCGGCACACTAGCCATGCAAAATCACAACTACGGCATAGACACTGAAAGCTTCCGAAGTAGCATAGCTGCGACTGGTGGTGGTGCGCAATGGCGTGATATCGACAGCAAGAATGGCGGTAGCAGTGAAGAGCCACATGAATATCATGAAATTTCCGATGATGAAATGACTGCAGACAAGCTGGACTTTGGACCATCTCTTTTAGATGAAATCACATCCATGTTTGGCTCAATGAGCGCCAGTGCTAGCGCTGCTATACCCAAAACATCCGATTTTGAGCATACATACAAAAAGAACGAATTCGCTGAAGTCACCTCCTCGAAATTGGTGGGCGGCAAAGGTGGTGATGCCAATGGTGGCAAATTTGGCACGACGTCGAAGAAGAAGTCCTCCGGTACGGTCAAACCGATTTCGGTGAAAGATGAACGTATACTCAATCAAGCAATCGAAATCGCAAATGAGATCAGTGCGAGGTGAGTCGTCGAAATTGTTTAGCATTTATTTATTATGAATGTAGTTTTTTTTATTTAATTTATTTTATTTTATTTTGTAGATCAATGAATGACTTGGTAGCTGATCCCGCGACCAGTACACAAAGTCCAAAACGTAAATTCAGTTTTCGTTTTCCGCATTTATCCAGTGGCAGCGGCCATGGCGCTGATAGGGCATCTGGTGGTAGTGGCTCACCGACTGCGGGTGGCAGTGTGAGTGGTAGCACTGCACCACAAAAGTCCTTGTCGCCTTATTCGAAAAAGAAAAATTTCACTGAAGAGCTAGAGAGCATACCCGATTTGCAGGTGAGTGTTAAAAGACTGCATTTAGATTTTTATATATTCTTATTGGTTGAAAGAAAGTATTTGAAGAGCGCTTGAGAAATTTCACTGAGGCATTGACATTGCTTTGAATGACGGAAAGAGGAAACTATTCGGAGAAAATTTCGTTTCAAATGCCTCACAATATCTCGGCCTCAACTGAACTTATTCAATTTACTAACAATTCAACATCTATTCCCCCTCTCTCCTTTTTATTGTGCCTTATATGTTTTGGAACGATTTATGGTTTTATTTTTATTTTTCGATATATTTTTTATTTATTTATATCTCATTACAAAAAAATAAATACATTTTTACTAAACGTGGAATGATAAAATAGCGATTTCGCTCCCTAAGTGAAATTAAAAACGGAAACGGTCCCGATTTGCGTATACCTATTTTCGATAAAGAGAGTTCTGATTTTTGTTTTGAGAAATCCCGTGAAATACTTAGTCGTCCATTGAGCTTAGATCCACCACCACCACCACCGCAACTATCCGCTCATATCAACACACCGCCTCTTACCGCGCCCTTTGACACACAAACGTATCGTGGTTTGCGTAATCAAAAGAGCATCAGCGAGAATATTATGGATATTGAGAATACTTTGAAGGCTCTGAATCTCGATTTTATGCACACCTACACTGAGTTGGACAAAACCGACTCGGATGAGACTCTACTGAACGAACAGTTTTCGAACATGGTATCCTCGATTGAGGATGAAATTAGCAGCGCCGCCGGCAGCCTCAAATCCGCTGTCTACAACTACAGTAATGGCGTACAGACAATGTTTGATTTTAACGCGGCCACAAGTCATTTGGATAAACATTTGCAGTATATCAATACACAGAATAATGCGCAGGCGCAATCAGTGCTTGGTGATTTAATGCAGGATCAGAAGATGGCTGAGGAGAAACGCTCCAGCACTCCCGATACAGGTTTCGCTTCACGCGACACCAACATTTCGCTCTCTCGACGCAGCAGTCAAAAGTCCAGCTATAGTCCACAAGAGAATTACTACAGCCCCAAGGAGACGGCGACTTTAGGTCCCAGCACGAGCAGCAGTAGTTATATGACTCATAAGGATGAGAACCTCTTGCTCGGCAGCGAGCGTTTTAGCGCCGCAAAGTATGGCGGTAGTGCTTCGCCAAGTAAAACTACCACGCTCAATGCGAGCAGCACTTCTGTATACAGTACCAATCAAATGAAAAGCGTAGCAGGTGCGCTTGGTACCGTCGACGTTGAGCAATACACACAAAGTGGCCATCGGCAACGTTCTATGTCCTTTACAGACAATCCCATGAATCCCATTTCGCCTGTACTGTCTGAGCCGCAGCAACGTTTGAAACGCCGCTCAACGCATTCGGCTATGGAGGATCGCTCTAGCCACAAGCCGCACATGCGCAGCGCCTCCTCTTATAAACCACGTTCGATACGCGCGCGCACTTTGCGTCGGCTCAGCTATAACCCTATCATATTGGATTCGAGCTCATCGAGCGATGATGATCCCATCAGCGATTGTAATCCGAGTATTGCGCGCTCGGAGTGTGACATACGCGGACGCGTTTCCTCACTCTATCGTCGTCGGCGCCCAGCAAGCGGTGGTAGCATTAGCGGTAACAACGGCACACATCAGCTACTGACCCCAGGTTGGCATAACGATGAAGCGTCCGAATTGAACACAACGTCACAGAAGAAACTGTACGGCTCAAATGTGAGCATCAAGTCAGCGCCACATTATAATTACGGCGCGCGCAGCATGTCGCACCACTACAGTCATCAATTCGAGGAGCAATTTGCATATGAGGATCGTATTTACGATTTTGGCGGTGGACGCGGCCCTGGAAATAACTATAGCGGCGGTGGTGTTGGCTTAGCGGCCAATACGCAAGGTCTTGGCAAAGGGTTGGATTTGAGTGCTAATAATAGTCGCGGTGTTGTTAGTATTGGTGCGGCTATTAATGCTGGCAGTGGGAATGGGAATACTGGTGGCGGCTCAGGCTCGGGTTCTTCCTCGGCTACATCATCAGCGCCACCATATAGTGGCGTTGTGGGCGTCGGAGGCGGTGCCGGTGCAGGTATGACCAACATTGGCGAGCATGGCTACAGCGCGCTCAGTGGCATTAGTGCGCGTAATGCAGTCTTCCACGAATTTGATGTTAGTCGTTTAACGGGTAAAAGTCCCACTTCCAATTTCGCGAACTCTTCAACTGAAGAGCGCGGCCGCGCACATCCATCACCGCCCAAATCGTTACCACTTCTAAATGCAGCAGCGCCGTCAGCAGGCGGCACTTCAGCGAGCGCGTTACACAAGAGCTTGAATAGCGCCAAACAACAAATGGAATTCCATTGGCCCGAAAAGATACATGCGTCCACGGTAAAACAGAATGAATTGCTCTGGCGCCAGCAGCAGCAACAAGAACGCCAACACGACACATCGCTGACGAAACATCAAGCGCACAACGCTTTCTTGGGCAGCATGCGCGTCAGCAGCGCCACTGCAGGCGTTGGTCTGACACTAGGTGCCGGTGGTGTTGGTGAGCCGGCTTATACCAGCGACAGTTCTTCCAGCGATAGCGATGAATTCGCATTTCGCACCGAGTTCATACCTCACGTACCACCAAGTCCAGCGCCATAACTAAAGAAAATGCTGAGATATTTTTTCAATTTACTTTTTGGTAATGTCTTGGAGGATCAACCACAGCAGCACTAAAGTGTCTGTGTGTATGTGTGTTTGCAGGGGCGTTAAGTGCGGCGAATTGAAGGAAGGAAGACAAGCATAGACATACCACATACATATGTATGTAGTAACGTAAAGAATTGATTGATTTACTTAGTATGTAAGCAATTTGATAGATATTTAGAGCAGTATTTTTTTGTTGTAAGGAGTAACGTAGAGTAACGAAAACGCTAAAGAGAGAAATTTTGTTTGTTGCGAATGCGACCGACGCTGCGAGTGAAACCGGTGAAGCTAGTAAATGCTACTTGCAACCGCTTCAGCTGCTCCTTGGTTGCATATTTACCACTTATTCATTGATATGCGAGCTGCTTAAATTTGTTTGTTGGATTTGTAAGAAAATTTATAAAATATTAAATTAAATGAGTAAAAATGTTGGCAACAATGTCAAGTTGCCTCCAAATTTTTCGTTTGCTTTTTTTTGGGGAATTTAAATTGCCGAATAGTTTATTGATTAAAAATTCGTATGAACAGCAGCGCAGATAATTCTTAACATAGGGAGTGCCTTATCGAGAGTAATTATTTTCTGCATCCACGCAGCGCACATGCATACAAACATACATACATAAACGCACTTAAAGCATTTAAAGATTTTAAAGCGCATTTTTTTGTAATCAAAATCATAACTTTTAGCTCAATTTCACAAAAAAATGAGCGGTTTCACATAAATTGCGAATTTGCATACATCAAACATTAACAGTGAAAAAATTCAAACATAAATGAAAATGAAAAAGTTCCCAAATGCAAACAGCAAAGAAATAAACTTTTATGCAGACTTTTTATGCGCAACAATCAATAGCTTAATACAATTGTTTTTATACATAAAAAATATTTTTACAAAAATTTTCTTTTTACAAAACTTATGTAAAAGACATGGCTCGACATAAAATAAACCAGAATACAAAACAGAACAATAAACAATAAATTTCAGAAGGCATTTAAAATTGTATGTTTCTTGAAGGATAATAATAAAAAAATGGAATTAAAAATATATATATAAACAATTGTAATATCAGGTTCCCCAGAAAATCAGAAAATTTAAAAAAAAAATTAATTAAAAAACGTTAATAAATATTGAAAATGTTCAAGGTTACTGTTATATTCGGTAAGGTTACTAATGGTTCAAATAAAGCAAAACAAAAATGTTTTCCAATAACTAGCACTAGCGACATTATGCTAACACCTTTGTACAAGCGTTTCTGCGTTTCTGAAATGTTTCAAGCAAAATTGAGGCATTCATAAATTTACTCAATACTTGGCGTAGAAATAAAATGTAAATTTATTATATTACATAAGAAAACATTTCTGAAATTCTGTACTATGCGTTGTCAGCGCCGACTAAGAATGAGAATAAAATCTTTTCTAGCAAAGAATATTCATAACATAAAGCAAAATTGAAAAACTGCCTTTTCTATATCAAATTCTTTCTATTGCTTTTTTATACTCCGACTATGGTCCTTTACCTCACTCCTGCTCCTTTTAGTTTTTCAAAGGAAAACTACATTTTTTCAATTTCTAATCTAGCTATATGTCCCTTCTGTTAGAAATTTTTTCAAAGACTTTCTGTGCTCAAAATCAACTGAAAATAACTTAAAATAATCAAAATACATACATATAAATATATACAGAGCATTATGGAATTTACTAAAAAATATTTGGTGTTGAAATACAAAACAAAAAAGAAATAAATAAAAATTAAATTAAACAAAAATTAAATTAAACAAAAATTAAATTAAAAAAAATTAAATAAAAAAAAAATTAAACAAAAAAAAATAAAAATTAAAAATAAAAAAATAAATAAAAGAATAAATAAAAGAATAAATAAAATAATAAATAAAAAATTAATAAAACAAAATATATAAAAAAATAAAATAAAAATAAAAAAATAAAAATAAAAAAAAAAAAATAAATAATTGAAAAAAAAGATAAAAAAAAATAAATAATTGAAAAAGATTAAAAAATATATAATTGAAAAAAAAAAAATAAAAAAAATTAATAACTGAAAAAAAGATAAAAAAATAAATGATTGCAAAAAAGGATAAAAAATAAATAAATGAAAAAAAGATAAAAAAAAATAAAAAAGATAAAAATATAATAAAAGAAAATAGTAAAAAATAAAAAATAAATGAAAAAAAAATTAATAAAAGAATAAAAATAAAAAAAATATTAAAAAAAAATAATAAAAAATATTTAAAAAAATAAAAAAAATTAATAAAAACATGAATAAATAATTGAAAAAAGATAAAAAAATAAATAAAAAAGATAAAAATATAATAAAAGAAAATAGTAAAAAATAAAAAATAAATAAAAAAAAATTAAAAAAAGAATAAAAATAAAACAATATATAAAAAAAATTAATAAAAAAATTAAAAAAAAAATATTTAAAAAAATATTTAAAAAAATATTTAAAAAAAAATATTTAAAAAATAAAAAAATGAATAAAAACATGAATAAAAATATAAATAAAAATATAAATAAAAATATAAATAAAAATATAAATAAAAATATAAATAAAAAATAAAAAAAAAAATAAAATTTATAAAAATAAAAAAATGAATAAAAAAAATTAAAAACTTAAAATTTAAAAAATGAGTAGAAATAAATAAATAAACAAAAAATAAATAAAATAAATAAAATAAATAAATAAATAAAAGATAAAATAAAATAAAATTCAAAAAAATAAAAATAAATAAATAAAAATAAATAAATAAAAATAATAAATATATAAATAAATACAAAGTGAATTAAAAATATAAACCAGCATAAAACAGTACCCAACTAACTTTCTTCATTGTAAATGTTCAAATAAAATAAAAAATCTTGATTGTGAAACCGCCTTATAAAGTTTTAAATCATGTAAAAAAAAGTCCTCTTTTTAATGAATATTAAACTCAAATATCTGATGAATAGCAGGCACTCAAAATAGTGTTTAAAATATTTATTTACTCGTCTGCACTGAAGTAATCGCCTTCAAAATAGTTCGCCTTAGATCTTATGCACTTGTGTCAGCGCTTCTTCCCATCCCCGAAACACTTTTTAAATTCAATCCTTTAGATAAGTTTTAGTTCCTTCAGCGTTGCGTTTATCAAGCTTGTCGAATCCTTTTCAGTCTTTTCGAATCCATTTGACAATCGACAAATGTCAAAGTCCTCGTTATTTTAACAATGCCGAATTGTTGGCGTTATCTTCATTCGATGTTTTTGTATTAGGTTTTTTCGAAATAAAGTTTTAAGGAAATAAAGTTAAAAACGGCTGCGTAAGCTGGGTTGTGTCTTGTGGATGGATGAAAACACACGATAGTCGAAGTAAAAGAAGAGAAATATCTCCCGTGAAGGAGGCGAAGGACCTGATTTTTCTTTTATTCATATATATAAATTGCGCTTGGTAACCGTTAAAGCGATTTTAGGACGAGCTCCTCCTCCAATTTATGGCATGCTTCTAGATGTTTTCCCAACAAATGGAGCACTCTGAACAAGATCTGCCGTACCATTTACCGCAATAAATTTGTCAAAAAATCAGCAATATTTCTGAATTTCATTCGGTTTCGGATTCCGTTTAAATTCTAATTATTTCGAGTGCCTATTACGGAAGTAGAAAAAAGGAATTTTTAAATAAAAGTATAAACTCTGTCGCTTTTAAACGTTTTTAATTACCAACCAACCAACTAACCGCTTAGCTTTCTGGAATTTTAAGGAAATTTATTATAAATATTTTAGTATACTAAAAACACTAAACTCAGATTTTTGTACTTACACACTCACATACACACTGCTTCTGTACTTTGAAATACAAACAAAAACAAATTTCTATAACCTCGAAAAAATGAGCTGAACCAAAACAAAACACTAAAACGCAAACAAACAGAAATAAATAAATATGTATGAATTAAAAAAATTTACAAATAAATGATTGACCAAATTCATCTCTTAGCATTTTTAGCGTAGGTTTGTAATTTTCAAAAAATTGAAGAAATACTGTTTAAGTGAGTTTTTTTGCAATATGAAAAATAACTACTTACAAGCATACATATGTGTAATTAACTCTGCAAATATATATATTTATATATATATAATACTAATAGACATATATTGTGTCCTTATATGGCGATATACTTAAGTTAAAGCACGCGATTTATGCATATATTATCCATTATTGTACATACTGGTACATATTTACATATTTATATATGCCTAAAGCATTTATGTTCATAATTAAGTTACGTATTATGCAAGTTGATCATTAAATGATATTTGTATCTACATACTATGTACATATATACATACATTGCGAAATTCGTCCCTTCTAAAATTTAGATTTATTTGAAAAAATTTACTAAATTTTCCAAAAAAAAAAAAAATAATAATTGATAACATCTAAGTCTCACATTCATACTATATACATACGTACATATTTATTCATAGATTCATACGCATATAATTATGTATATACGCTATATGTACTCGTATCTTGGTTTCTTGGCGAAAAAGAATTACTAAATAAATATAAAAATCACAGCTCGCGTGATAAGCCCTAAGTCTCTATCTATAAATAATTCTAATCAAGAAAAAAAAAAACAAAAATCCAATACTAAAAAAGAGGAAACGCGACAAACATTTTTTGAAAGCAATAAAATTGTAAAGCGAAAAGTAATTCATATATATATATATATATATATCGCATTATATTGAATTTGTATGCATTGCATTGCCTGTTGCATTTATGGAATTTCATACAAAGTGTAATAAGAAAATGAATTAAATAAAAAGGAACTAAAACAAGAAAAAAATTACAAGAGTGGAAATAAATGCTCCAAGTAAAAAAAAAGCAAAGAAAAATATTTTTAATAAAAATTAAAAATATAAAAAGAAATGAAACTAAATGTGAAAAGCAAAATAATTAAATTAAAAGTAAAAAAAACTAAAACAAAAAATGCAAAAAAAATGTAAAACGTAAATTAAATTAAATATATAAAAAATTAAAATTAAAAATAAACAGATAAAGACTTAAATTTAAAAAAATGTACGTAAAATATAATTAAAATCAAAAACAAAAAATTATTAAATTAAATAAAAAAATAAAAAAATTCAAATGAAGTTAATAAATTAAAAGTAAAAAGGAATCAAATTAAAATAATGAAAATTAAACTTTAAATAATAAAATGTAAAATGAAAAATGTAAATTAAATTTAAATAATAAAAATTAAATTAAAGAAAATAATAAAAACAAAAGACCGCAATTAAAAAATTAAACTTAATTGTTTCTTTAAAATAAATTATATCTTTTATATGTTGCTCGAAGCAGAATTCGAACCCTGGCTTTGCGAATGGCTACAACAGCCGACAATAATTTAAAACCAATAATGAAAACATTACTTTGTAAATTTGTTTTCTGTGCGCTCCAAAACTACCCGACAGATTATACTGAAAATTTGTCAGTCTGTTTCTATTAATTCTTGCAAAGATGTATGCAAAAAAACACCAAGAAGACCACGGACTAACCTCTTGGAAAATTCGTATTTATAGTTCGAAGGAAAAGCTACACTTCACACCAGGATCTCTTCTGAGTTTGGATGTTTGACCTCTAAATTCTAGAGTCGATTATGGACCACTCAGGTAGCCTATGATTCACCTCTTCAACCCGGAAAAAAAGCTTTTGACAGTTCCAGTGCTACCAGGACAGCTAAAGCGTAGGGCCGGTTTTGATTGATGCCATTGACTATCTGTGCGCTTATGGCGTTAAGTACAGTTGTAGTGCTTGGTTGCGTTTGGTTAAATTTTTGGATGGCATGCCCTAATGGAATGTTTGTGTTTCCAAGAAATGGATCCTTGATTACATGTAACTGCATACTTTCTTAACGACAAAAAATAGTTTGATTTGGATTAAAGTATATTTCGGTAGTAGGCTTCGTTAAGGTATTATTCGGCGAAAGCATTAAATAAAAAAGTTAACCAAACCAATTAA